TTCACGGTCGTAGTATTTTTCATTATCGTAATTCCTAAATTGCATGCAAAATGTTTTCAACACTTCCGCATGTCCTTGTTAATAACTTTAACTGCATTTCGGATATCGCGAATTGTAAACGCAATATTTTAGTATGAAAACACAATTAAAAGTTTAAAAATACTGCTGCTAGTAGGAACTAGACAACTGAAGGTCTTTCATTAACTTCCTTGTCTAGATATGAACGTTGATCCTAGACAAAACGGTTATAGTTATGATAAGCATATTATTATGTACTCCTAGTATGTTTTGTTTACTTTTATCAAACTGGTATAAACCAGTTATGGCTACAATTTTTTTTTGTTTACTTACTGTTTGATTACAAAAATTTATCGAAGAATTATTGGTGAAATCATAATAGTCACTGGCTTCAGTCAGTGAAAATATTTGAGTACAGTATTCGAGATAAATACAGAAGTTAAGACATATTAAGTAAAATAAACAATGTAACTGTGCTAAAAGATAATGAATTAAAATTGCCAAAATAAGTACAGTGACCGACAATAAGAATAAACGATAGCGATAGCTGCGATGACCCGGAGACGGTTGAAATTACCCCGGTAAAGAAAGCAGTAGAAATAATAATATTCAAGTAAATTTCCTAATTAAAATATACTACTAGCTGACGCTTTCTATCTCTGATGGTGTTTCTCTATTTAGTGTAGTCCTCGGCGTTGTGGCTGTGGTTGAATTTATTATGATTTTCTTTCACTACACAGACAATTAATTTGAACTATTGGCCACTGTGACGTCATTTCTGCTATCTTTTCTGGATACTTTTGCACAAAATTAAGCCTTATCTGTAATCGAATTTAACCTTCCAAACCGGAAGTTGTAGGTCGTGTACAAATATGGTAAGTTCAAGTTTCGTATATGTTTGGTCATGTCCAAGTTTGGTGACGAGAGATGAGCAATCTGGAAGAAGCACGTGTCAAACACATGATACATAAAGAGCAGCAAGCGATCACATAACAATTCTTTTCTAAATTATTATCTAATTTTAAGACACTTTCGAGGTGAACACACGAGTCAAACCAATGACAATGTAAAAATCTAAAGAGTTATCCCTCCAAAACATTAAGAAAATAAATATAATACTTGAACATAACTACTCAGAGCCAGGCAACTACGACCATTGAGTAGTAGACACATTTATTAATACATAAATGAAATAAAACGCAGCAAAACACGCATAAACTAGTGATACTAAACACTCGTAAACCTATAGAACAATAACATAGTTATCTGAGTAAAGCGTTATCGGGCGCGTATGAAAAGTGCACTGAGCAGGAAGTCGCGCGGCCCTGACGCCCGCACGAGGTCGCGGCGCGCGGTGCATCGCATATTCACTTTGCGTAATACTATCGATAGTCGATCGGTTGTCTAGGCAACGTAATATAAAAATCTTTGTACTAAATGTTATTGATCTCGGATGTAATCACTATTTGCCTTATTAATAGAAATATGCCCATCGCATCGAGAGCACATAAACAATTTGAATACTGTATGATTTTGACTAAGCTTTAAGGAAACATCTTTACTGAAGTTTCCTCCTAAAGGAGGAATTGTGTGTACTTTCTATTGCTTCAACCATTTATTTTGACAGTGGACATTATCCAACCTTTGATTTATTATTAGGGAAAATCACACGTTAACAGGTTTTAAATAGATAACAGATAGAATAACGGATAATAAAGATAAAAATATATATGTTCAGATGAAGTGCTTCCTATACCTATTATTTGACTGGCACAGTTTCTATAGTTGTGGGTTGAAACAGGCGCCGAAAAAATCGGTAAGATTAACATTTAAAATATTTACTGTGGCCCTAGTTATTGTGTTGTTTCGTATTCTGATAGATTTTAAATTGAAGCTTAATATGTAAAAAATTGGATGAACCATTTGACCCTTCTACTTCTACTGAATTTTGAAATATTATACCCTGGGTTTCACGGAGTCCACCGGAAACACTTTGGGAATCACAGGTGTAGATGTTTGCTCAGTTGCTATTGGCAACGCAACGGGCTGCGCATCGCTTTGCATACAATTACAGTACGCATTTACCACATCGTTCATCCTTTGTCGAGATGCAAAGTGAAATCATCCAAGTGCATGTTGCGATGCGATTGCGTAGGATGATACATGTGCATTAGTAATATAATGTAATTGATTTATTTAAAATCTATTATTATTATTATTATTAAAGATCTGCATCGCTTAATAAGTCTAATAATCATTTTTGTTTAACCATACTAATTGCAATATAAACGCAATACAATTGCGTGTTATTTTAATTGAAACCTTGTGGAGTATTTCTCAAGGCGATATTCATACA